CGTCCACAGACGGAGAGTTCAAGCTCCTGAAGTCAGAGGAAGTGGCCAAGCTGTGGGGGCTGCGCAAGAACAAGACCAACATGAACTACGACAAGCTGAGCAGAGCCCTGCGCTACTACTACGACAAGGTGAATGTAACTGATTGTGGTTATTGTGTAGGAGCTGCCTCCGCGTGGATTAGTCCAGCTTGTCGTGTCATTTCAGCTTTTGTAACTGAAAGTAGTGTAGTACCATGACAGATTCTTTGCTGTTCTGTTTAACGTCACAATCTCCTCCTGATAGACACTTCCACTTCCTCTTTCTTATAAAATGCGCAGTAGAAATCTGCCTGTGATGTGGCACTCTTAACACACAGTGGTTTCAGTTCGGCCTTTGTCATCATCCCAGATTCCCTGATGATAGTCGACATGTCCTGTTATTATTTTCTACATTGATATGAGTGTGTAGAAAGTTCTCCTCATCATTTACGGTGTTTGTTTGTGTTACAGAACATCATCAAGAAGGTGATTGGCCAGAAGTTTGTCTATAAGTTTGTGTCCTTCCCTGAGATCCTGAAGATGGACCCCCAGGCGGTCGAGATGGGCCTGGCTTCTGGAAGGTTTCCCCTCCATGAAGGAGAAGCCTCTGAGCTGGAGGTAGAGATAGAGGAGGAGGAGGAAGAGGAAGGGGAGGAGGAGGCCCAGAGGAGGACTCTGGCAGCCCTGGGGGCGCAGCAGTGTCGAAACGACTACCTCCGCTCTGGTCTCTACTCCTCCTTCAGCATCAGCTCCCTGCAGAACCAGCCTGAGCTGCTCCGTGCCCTGCGGGAGCGCCAGGAGGAGCCGCGCTCCGTCATCCGCTTTGGCACCAACGCCAATGACAGGAGGTCCCCTCCCTCTGCCAAACCCGAGTCCTACGTCTCCCCCAGGTTATCCAAACTCCACTCCCCATCCTCTCCCCACCACACCCAAACCCCCCAGCTCGGCCGAAGCTGGAGCCCCGCGGCTGAGGAGGAGGAGGACTCTGAGCAGAGCGCTCAGCCCCTCAACCTCTCCTCTGGGCACAGGGAGCGAGCCCTGCACCACCCTGAGAAGAGGAGCAGCAGCAGCAGCGGTAGAAGTAGCTCTACTAGTAGTAGTAGTAACCAAGGAGATGGACTCCCACCTAAAAGCAAAAAGCCCAAAGCTCTGGAGATCTCTGCCCCGTCCCTGCTGCTCACAGGGAGCGACATCGGCTCCATCGCCCTCAACAGTCCAGCACTGCCGTCTGGCTCCCTCACTCCTGCCTTCTTCACTGCACAGGTGAGACGATCCATCTGAATGAAGTGTGTCCTGCCCATGTTCAAATGGGTGTCCCTCCCTCTTTAGAGACTTTAAATTATGATTGTTAGCACTTTAGAGGACTGGCGACCCATTCAAGGTGTCCGGGTATTCTGCCTGCCTGTTCTGCCTGCTGCACACACCTGAGACTGCTCTGAAACCGGCTTCATTTCTGTCTAGTGGAGACGCGTTTACACACCCCACTGCCACCTTTGACCCATTTTTACAAGTTCTCTTATTTCTGCTCTCAATAATTTAAGGTAGACTAGAGACCACATCGAACTACAGTGAGTCCAATAATAATCAAATCTCAGACAGAAAGAGAATAGTTCTGTGATGCTTTCTGTGTCTGCCCCCCTGTGTGCGGCCACCGGGAGATGATGGGATCTCTCGGTATGATGTCAGCATCCCTAAGACACATCTGACACAGCCTGGCATGTTTTGGTGGAAAGACTACCGCTATATTTATTTTAGTAGCCATTTGAGCTAAAGTTTCCCTGAGAAACCGACAGAGAAGAAGTCTGAAAAGGTAAATTGGTATAAGTTTTAGCACACAGGCACTTAAATGTCATAAAGGAATTTTGCATCGTTTTGCCCAAATGTAAATGTAGACTAACTTAATGAGTCATTGTCTGTGTTTGGTTTGGATTTGAACCTTTTGAATCGCTTCAATAAACAGTTTTGTGCGGTTAAAAGCCAAAATTACTGCTAGAATGTTTACTGCAAATTACAAACCTTGTAGAAATATGTCTATCTTCAAATTAAAGTTTGAGATATAAAAGCGATTGTAGAAATGTAGATTTGCTCATTTAAACTGCTGTAAATTCAGTAGTTGCTCTTTAACCTCTTCTGGTTGTGCAGTCTAAAACAGCATGACTGCTGTAAGATGGGTTCAGGTTTTACGGGGACAATTTTTAGAGCGTTTTCTGCCACAAATTCAATGCCAGATTCATCCAGCTGTGGCATTTTGGTTTATTTTGATCCTAGACATAACCCCGCAGGCTCTGCTCCGAGCATCAGCTGGCATTTAATCATCTTTTTCAGTTAATAATGTGTTTACATTGGAGTTGTCACAAAGGAAAAAATCTCTCCGCTGCATCAGAAGCTGAATACTACATTCGCACTGTCTGTTTATGAGGGCGCAAAAAAAGTGAGATCAGAGGAAAACAAGCGATTCACAGGAATCTTCTGCAAGTCCAACCTATGAGAGGGGGGAAGAGGCCCTAAGTGATGCCATATGCTCCAATAATTCCATTAATAATGGGAGCAGGGCTGGGTCCCTCCGCAACACTGGCTCACTTCTCTGAGGTGACACAGGGGAAAGTAGGGGGAGTGAAGGGGGGGGAGAAGACCAGGGGAGAGAGGGAGAAATTGATTTCATATGTTTTCTCTCTGGTTGCCGTTCCAAGTGTTTGAGGAACCCCCCTTTCCCCTTCCCCCACCTCCCCCAACTCCCCCAATCAACAACAACCCCCACCGTACACCTCCTCCTCTCCTCCCCACGTCACCCCTGTATTCTGGGCTAGAAACCACAGACTTCCTTCCTGCTCCGTCAGGTTGTTTTTCCAAACGCCAATACACGTCCATTTACCATTTCAGCATGTTTCGCATTACCGAAGCCCTCAGAGCAATACTCTCCAACCAGTGTTTTTCTTTTAAAAAAAATGTTGTCTTCACTCATTTCTCTTATTTACACAAAGCCTCCCTCTCTCCCTCTGTGTCCCCCCTCTCCCTTCGCAGACTCCCTCTGGTTTGCTGCTGGCTCACAGTCCGCTGTTGTCAGGCATCCACTTCTGGAGCAGTTTGAGCCCAGTCGCCCCGCTCAGCCCCGCCCGGCTGCAGGGCCACAGCTCCCTCTTCCAGGTAAGAAACACACACACACACACAGGTGTGGACGCACAGAGGAAGAGAGATGGGGACAAAAATAGCAGGAGATGAGAACAGAAGGTGTGCTCAAAGGATTATTGTTTACTGGTAGCGCTTGAAAGCCAAGGAGGAAGTAACGAAGCCGTGCAGGTGAAATTAGCACTGCTGTAAAATCCCCGTTCTTCCCAGCAGTTGTTAGAATCAGGTGAGTAGAGACGGGAAGGTTCTTTTGGAAGAGATTAAGATGAACCAATTTCCAGACACTTACAACAGGTAATAAAGGGATTGGCTCCAGTTTTTATAGCCTAACTTACATGGACTCATTTATGTCTTACTGATATGACTATAATGTACATTAGCATTGTCCATTCATTACGTAAGTGCCAGTCTAAAGTAAAGTGTGTCTTTGTCTTCTAGATTTCGCATTTTCAGGCAAACACAGACAGATATTATACTTAAAGCTTCTGAAAAATAGCAGACACCAACGGTTTTGAAACTAGTCGAGACTTAGTAAGCAGGTCCAGCAGAGGTGTCCTGTTTCAGTGCTTGTGAGAGGGAGAGGAAATCCTGTGAATACTTCCTGTTTGAGCCCTGGGGAGCCAGTTTGAACAGGGTGGACTGGTTTGAGAGCTGCTCCTCATTTGTGAAACACACACACACACCACACCCCCTCCACCGGCGTGCACACACACACACACACACACACACACACACACACACACACACACACACACACACACACACACACACACACACACACACACACACACACACACACACACACACACACACACACACACACACACACCAACCATACCGGATCCTCTGCGCACAAATAATGTTGACTTCTCTTTCTGTTGTGGAGGTACTGGGGACAGAGACGAAAAGGAAGAGGCACAATGAATAAAAAAAACAGGAAACCAGAGCATGCTGCAGTTCCTCACCGGAAAGCAGCTTTCATAGAGCCTCCGTCCCCTCCCCACTAACTCTCAGCCCCTTTCTCTTCCTCCACAGTTCCCCAGCCTAATCAACGGACACATGCCTGTCCCCCTGCCAAACCTGGAAGGAACACCCTCCTCTCTGCTCCTGTCCCCCACCACCCACAAATCCTGATCCAGGGTCTGTGAAAATTCATCATCCATCTCTTATTGAAAGCTTCTCATCATCATCATCGTCTTGTTACATTTTGCTTCAGAAATGTCCTAAGAGACAGTATGTGACCTCACTATTTTGCACTTGCGTTGCTTCAGATTCCAGTGGTTGAAAGCACTTGGTAAAAGCCATACGCCACGATGTCTGTGAGACGTCTGGCTCTTTGTGATAAAGTACAGCACATTTCCACATGACCCTGTCCACAATGGACGGCAGTGACATGTAGCGAGCTGCAAAAGACTAGCCAGCCGCTCATTCTGTGCAGAGAGCTTGGTTATTTTAATCTTGTTTAAAAAAATAAAAAAAACGTTTCTCCTTTTTTTTTAAATGTTCATCACAATTTGAAACCAGTTGTTTCCAGTTGTGGTATTGTATGTATTGTATGCACTATGCTTCTCAGATAGTACCGGCTGTGCCTTGTTGCTCTTTTTTTTTTCTCAAAAATCTTTTAAATGAAGACGAGATTTCAAATCAATGAAAAACCTTTGTAACACTTGTAATGTTCTTTTTTTTATACTGGACTTGGTATACAGTTTGTATTCTGTATAATTTTGTATTGTGAAGAATGTCTTGTCATTTTCAATAAACAAAGCATTGAATGCTTTAACACAGTGCCTTAAATTAAACATTGTTACAGTAGCTAAAAAAAATGTACAACACGCGAAACAAAACCAGTTCAAAAGATTTATGTTTAAACTTTAGATTTTATTTTCTTTACTCTGGAAAAAAAAAAGCTCAAATATGGGAGGGCATCTGCAACGAAAATCCCACACCAATAACAATTATTCACAAATAAAGTTAAAGAATATCATACAAAACATCTCTTGTAACACTGTTAAACAGACTGTGACTCAGTATCGATTCACTAGGGGCAGGACTATAGCTAGTGCTCCCTGAATTAGGAGTTCAGTGGCTGTGTGCTTCCTCATACAACCGATCAGGCATGCAACACAATGATGGAGGCAATCCTAAAAATCAAAAAAAAGGATCAATGTCTAAAGTTGATGGAGATGGGAATGGCAGAAAGGAGAACACATCTGTAATGCACAAAGGCAGCTTTCAACACTGGGAATTCACTTTGCACCTCCTCTTTGTAACAGATGGGAGGAGATAATAGTTAGGTGAGATGGAAAAGGATGAGAAGGTTGTTCACTGTAGTTAAATATTTTCTAAAAAATGTAAAGAGGCGTAACTAATCCTATAATGCCCTTGTTAATAACTCCATGTTGCCCCCCCTCCCCCCTTGCATTTGTTCATTGGTCACGACAAGACCACAGCATCCTGGAATGATATGCCAGCATCTGACAAGAATGTGATCCTTTTTTTTTTTTTTTTTTTTGCAGAGTTTGGCAGCACTGCTCTCATATAAGCCTCCAGTTAGGATAAAATGATCCATTCCACCGAAGCTAGCCTCAAAAACCTTCAGAATAAATGGTCATAAATGATGAGTGCAGCATGAGAACAGCACTGTGGAAACAGAGACAGAAAATCAAAACCCTTTTGAGTTGCTACAGAAACATCCTTCTGTTTGTGCCTCACACATCCACACGCACACACACTGATGAGCTATGAGGTGGAGTTTTGTATGTATGAAAATGGAAATAATGACAAAAAAACATCACTAAAAATACCACTTCAAAAAGAAAAAAAATAATTAAAAATCTATACACATTGCATGTACTCATTAAAGTGACTGAGCCAGTTAGAATTCTAGACAGTAGTTGTATTTAGCAGCAAATTCTCTTCTCAATAAATATAGATGTACAGTATATAAATGTCTCTTTTGGGCCAGGTTCAGGCCAAACCTGCAAAGGGGGGTCGGTCGCACTGTGGACACAGGTTTCCCCAAGTAGTCTCGGGGGGGTGGGGGGGTGGATGATGACAATGATGATGCTCCATGCCAACATTCATCTCAAGTTACTGATCCATCGGCGAGACTGTACAGCTAGGAGATCCTTCCAAAATAAAAAAAATACAGTCCGAAGAATCTAAAACAGCATGCTTTGTCTTCTGCTCTTTCCGTTGCCTGAGGGAAAACAAAGAAGAAGCATAAATGATTCTGGTTTTTAGAGTTTACAGCGGGAGACTTCAAAGTTAGACACTATGGGTCCACCCAGACGAGATAGGGGATAATCAGGCTCTGACTTATGGAAGAACAATTCCCATAATGCTTCGAGGCTTTACTAACTACTTAACTAAACAGTGGCACTGGATAGGGCCGTATTTTGTTGCGTTTCACGGCCACCCTAGTTTCCCCTTCACCGTGCTTGGAAGGAGAGGGTGAAGCACGGCAGTTGCAGTTTGCAACTACACCGCTAGATGCCACTAAATCCTATCTTTCTACCTCACAGAGTGAAAAACCTCTGGCTCACTGTGTAAACACAAGCAATCAAAAGTATTCACACTTGTATTATCCCTCACCTGACTCAGGGTACGATGAGTTCCGGTAGCCGGGATCTCTCTGCAGCTGGACCTCCTTCAGCGTGAATATAGATATGCCTGGCAGACATAAAGAGCCAGTCAGTGCAACAGAAATCGCATCTTGCCAGGAGAATAGTGTTCTTTGTTATTTGGCTGTAACCGATCCTTACAGTACACGGCAATATCCTTCAAGTTGTACCTAGTGGAGCCTGCCAAGTCTGCATTACTGCGTTGCCATTTCATTACTCACTCTCTGGCAGTGTGTGCACACGTGGCCCCAGGCTCCTGAAGTACGGCTGTCTCATTGCTTCATCAGCAGAGATCCTCTTTTTCGACTCGTACTGAAATCCGGGGGAAGTAACAGAAACATAAAGTCATTAAAGAACGAAAAAAAAAATGGGGTCAGCATTGTGTGATTGCATGTGAATGTGTTGGCCCGCCTAGATGCGCTTCTTTCCAAAAATACAGTCCTAACATAGCTGCAAAATGTGTCACACTGCTTTTAACATCACAATCATGCCTGGCAGATACAGCAACACTCACTTTTAGGAATGACATCAGCAGGTCAATGCCATCTGTGTCCAACCTGAGGGGGGGAAGCAGGAGAGAGAGAGAGAGAGAGAGAGAGAGAGAGAGAGAGAGGTCAGTAGAGGTGGGGTGACGCACAGATGCTGACGAGTGTAAGGAAGGAAACGGTCAACTATTCCACAGGATTTCCTTACAGGAAGTGACACAAAGCACACACTCCTAACTAAACAAACCAATAATATTAATGTCTAACTCTAAAAACTAAAAAGCTCTACATGCAGTAGAAGCTCTTATACCTGGGTGTGTTTTGAAACATTTGCTCATTCCCATCTCCAATGATTAGAGGGCTAATAAGAGAGGTGGGGAGGGAGTGTTAAGAAACTGTAAAAGTGTATAATTACTATATAAATATCTAAAATAAAATCATGTAACATTTGATAAGATGCAGTACATAATATAAATAAAAAAGGACAATCCATATACAGTGGAAGAAAAAGCAGATGTCCAGAAAACAAGTTTTCCTTCCCACCTGGGTGCGTGGTTAATGAGGGGCTGGGGCTTGTACTTGGGGAACTTGTAGGACTTGAACTCGTCGATAGAGGATATTCCAGGCCAGCTGTCTTCTGTGGGAGTGCCTGTAGAGGGACATTCAATCGACCCTGTTAGAGTGAGGCTTTTTATCATGGCAGCTGGAGGGGCTTTTCACACTGCCACAGGGGCTACGTGCCAGGGTTAATGCGATTAAAGGATCATATTAAAAGTTTGAGTGCTTCCCTGTCAGCAGGGGGCACCACTGACCTAGCAGCCTGAAGATGAGGTGCAGCTCGTCCTCCACTGTGGAGCCTGGGAACAGCGGCCTGCCGGCAGCCATCTCATAGAATATGCAGCCCACACCCCTGACAAGAAGACACAGACAGGAGGGATTAGGTCTGACCGAAGTTTTAACACCAATTCAACTCAACAGCTCTCCTGTATTTATACTGCCACTAACTTTTTGGATCAAACTCCCTGAATCATACATTAAAGTGTCCACTTTCAATCTGTCTGATGAGTGAAATATCAAAGGAAGGGGCAGGAATGTATGTGAGAAAAGCAGCATGGCACTTTGAAGTTTAAGAGAAACCTTTCGGAGTTAAATTCCACAACAGCTTGAGCGCGTTCATTAACAGCCATGTGCCACATCAAAGTCTCTTCGCTGTAGATTAGGACACCTGTCTGCTGCTCGCTTCATAAGTTGCTCAACATAAGAGCATCAATTCAATCAAAGAAGCTCCAAACGTCTGTGCTTATACCACAAAATCACTGAAGCGGCTAGAGAAATTACAAATTCATCAGAGGAGTTCTTTCTGCTTGAGGATTATATTTGCCTCTGCACCTTCACTGCGCTCAGTCATGTGGACGTAAAGAGAAAGCGTAGCCAGGAGTCTACTCAGTTCTAACAGTTGTAATCACCCCTGTTGAGCGAGGCCCACTCACCACATGTCTATCTGTGTGGAGTATTCGGAGGAGCCCAGCAGTACGTCGGGAGGCCGATACCAAAGCGTTACCACCTCGTTAGAGTATGTTTTAGTGGGCACAGACTTGGCCCTTGCCAGGCCTGTGGAGCAGAAATATGAGAAATAAAAACAGATCCAATGGACACATTTATTAAAAGTTCATACGAAGCGTTTCATTCCAAGATCTCAAATATTCATCATTTCTCTAATATGGCTCAATTGTATCACACAGTGTTAAAAATATAAATGAACGCAGCTTCAGAAACGTAAAGGTGTCGCTTATCATCCAAATGGTAGATAATTCATTTGAACTAAAACTTATCACACAAAATAGGTTTAATCTTAATAATAAATAATTGATGTAAGTTTTATTTTTTTTTTTACCAAAGTCAGCCAATTTGAGTTCTCCTCTGTCGTTGATGAGCAGATTTTGGGGCTTCAGGTCTCTGTGGAGGACTTTGCGTCTGTGACAGTACGCTAAGCCTCGCAGGATCTGATACAGAAAGATCTGGGGAGATAAATATTTTACATCAGCAATTTTTCAGATAGTTATGCTGAATAAAAAATATTATTATGCTACAGATGCTGCTGCTGTATCACATATAAATAAATCCAAATCCACCTGCAATACAGATTATTAATAAGAGTAAAATGTTTAAGCAGAGTTTTAATATGCAATCTGAAGTATTTTCATTCCTATTCAAAGATACATTAAACTAAGTTTTTAAAAAATGCACACAAACAACACAAACAGAAGTAAAATACACAAATAGAAAACACATTTCACTTTCCCCCTCCACTGTCTACACTCCTCCACCAGGGGGCACACTAACAGCATTTCTTGTGTTGACACCAGTAGCCACAAAGTGTGACAGTTGATGAAGTTGGCCAGGCCAGCAGGCTGCCTGCGGAGGCTCACCTTGACATTCTGCATGCTCAGGATGTTCCCGCAGTCGTCCATGTACTGCTTGAGGTCTTTGTCCTAGACGAGAAACAGAGAGAGAGAAAAAGAGAGAGAGAGGGGACGTTAACAGAGTAGAAAGGCTACAGGCACACCAACTGTTGTGCTCCCGTGTTGTCATCCTCGTCTCTGCAGAGGGTCATGAATAATAATGATGTTAAAATATATTTATTTTAGCATCTATGCACAGAATAATATGTGAGTCGTGCAGGAAGTGAGGTCAGAGGTTTTGTTGGTCTCACCAGGTACTCGAAGACCAGCGTGAGCGACTTGTCTGTGTGGACGATGTCGTGCAGCGTCACAATGTTGGCGTGTTTCAGGTCCTTCAGTAACGACACTAGAGGAGAAGAAAGAGACAGCTGTAACAGTGAGGATGCGATTACACTCGTCTCTGGATTTGCACTAATAAAGGTTTACTTAGAAAGTCTGACATCATATACAAAGAAAAGCCTCATAGATTTGTTTTCCTTATAAAACTTTGCATGTTTTGGTTCTCTCCTGTAGTTGCTCTTAAATCCTCACTCAAAACTAACCACAACTACTGAACAAAGACGCCTTTTCAAAAGCTCATTAACGTTTCAGTGTAAATATTGTAGATGCAGTACAACTTTAAATTGGTTAAAATAGGTTATAGCAGTAAACTCGAACTCGAACTTTTAACTGCTGTAGTTTCTTACAATTCCTTTTCATGCTAAAACCCCATTCACAGTTCAGCTTCTACAACATGACAAATGTTGTAGAAGCTCTGCTGTGTCACTGCACTGCGCTCTCTGTAAAACTGTTGAACAGAATATGGGTAGAGTTAAGTTTGTTTTTTTAAGTGGAACTTTTGTAGTGCCACATAATGTCATCAATATGAAAGAGTACCATCAGAAAATTATAATAAAGGTGAATTATCTGGAGCTCTGTTTTTAAATTAAAATTTAAATGGTGAGAAATCCCAGGATTAATTTTAAAAAACTAGACAGCTGCTTATTATAAAACACTTGGATCCACATTGAATCTAACTGGAGGCAGCTGTGGGAAACGTATGAGGGTTTTGGTGCAACGCTGAACCCGTATACCTTCTCTGATAGCTGTGCATGGCGCCCCCTCTTCATGCTCCAGCCTGATCTCCTTCAACGCCACAAGGTTGTCTGTCAGCTTACTCCTCCCCTTGAAGACTGTTGCATATGTGCCCTGGAGGAGAGGAGGAGAAGGAAAAGAGGTGAGGAAAGGTTTCAGAAGCTAGACTGATGCAGCACAGTCAGGCTGTCAGGGGTTAAAAGTAAACTCTGGAAGTACGAGTTATATCACAATGAGAACATCCACACCTGTGTGGAAGTCAAGGTTAACAGCGAACACACACTCCCACGTACCTCCCCTAGTTTGTCCAGTTTGATGTAGGTCTCCAACTTCCCAAATCCAATTTCTGACTGGAGGAGAGAAAAGGACAAACAGCATTAATGAGCGTGGTGTCTTTATTAGCAGTGACAAGCTTACAGACACTACGGCAAATCCTTATGACGGCCTCACAGCAACAGAGGGGGGGTGTAAGGAGGTCACACCCCCCCAACCAACATCAGAGCTAATCTCTTGTGACAAAGGACTGTTGGCTTTTGGCTTTTACAATGTGTTTGTTTATAGGGAAGGGAAGGCAAACTTTATTTATAAAGCAGGTTTATTACGCAGTGGAAAGCTGTAACGTGTTTTAGAACTGCTTTTACTCATTTGTTTGAGCAAAAATGTCATATTCTTTTGCAGGTTCCAGCTTCTTTAATGTCAGGATTTGCTGCTTTCCTTATCATGTATGATAGAAAACTGAATAAAACAATTAAATGAATAAAACAAGCTGTCTAAGTACATTATCTTGGGATGTGGGGAAATTATTATTTTCACTATTTTCTGACAGTCATCTATTAGTAACTGCCTTAATGTACGTCATACAAATAATGCATGTTACATTTAACTTCTCAGCTACAAAAAGTGCACATACAAACTATTAAGTGACTAAGATGTAATACTCATTATGAAAGGCAGCTTTTAAGGGAAGTGAGAGTCTTAGGTCATCTTGAGTCTTCAGGAAAGCTTTTTCCAGTAACTAGGAGTGTAAAAACAAAAGGCAGCTTCACCAGACTTTAAAATCGACCCTCAGTACAGCATGAAGTCCAAGTAGCTCACAGATTGTCCACATGTTGAACACATATTGAGCAAAAGCCATTCAGTGCTTTCTGAACAACTCTGCAGGGGAGTGTGCATGCAGATGCAGTGGACTGAGGCAGTTCATACATTCTCTCTGATCTGCTTTTGACAGATGTACATTCAAAGTAAAACCACAACCCAATTACTGAGGCTGCTGACAAAGTGAATGTCAAGGTGCAATGTAAAGACATGACAGCAGAGAGGATGAGGTTAGCTAGTGTAAGGTGTGAGCTCTTCCTCTCTCACTTCCGTTTCTAGTTGTCTTTAAATGAAACAGAGCTCTCACAGCTATCTTTGTATTCAGCAGCCCCTCCCTGATAGCCTTCCCATTTCCATTTCTGTGCGACTCTCCTCTGCTGTTGATCCTCAAATCAGTAATTCTCGCTCTCAGACGTGGGCAACAAGTATTGTACAATTACATAAGCACAGTTCGAAGGTATTATCACTCCAGCTTTTAAAAAGAAAAATGTTCTCAGGGAAACTTTGTAGTTTCTCTTTCACTACATTGAATTGACAGTTTGGTAGCGCTTCCTTTAATAACTGTGGGTGTATCCGACCATTACGGGCAATGTTGAAAATCAATGAGCAGGACTGTGATGAAGCAGGGCTCAACAATAAGGGGTGTGTGACACTTTTAACAATAAAGTAATTGAGCAGCTACAGCACTTCACCTGTGTAGCCAGCAGGGACTTTTCTTGCCACCTTGTTGAGTGTGGCAAGAAAACCACAAGGTAATGCTAATTTCAAATTTTTCACCTCTGTCTTATCATCATCTTCTCTTTACTTTCTTGTCCTCTAACCAGTGTCCCCCTCTTTTCCCATCCTTCTCCCCCTGTTCTCTATCCATCTCACCAGTGATGCTCTGCGGGAGCGTCGGCTCAGCGGCTGGTCGAAGGAAGGGCTGCTCAGCTGCAGCTTCTCCAGGTAACCGTCGGGTATCCGGATGTCGGCCGGCAGGGACAGACGTTTGTTCAAGTCCTGCATGCGCACACACAGAAATAGATAAAAACAACAGAAAACTCAATTTAAAAAATAATGTCAACAGGGTGTAAAACCGTGAAGTAAACCCTCAGTAAACAGCGTAAGCTCAGGATAAATACCAATGATTGACAACAAAATGGCAAAAACCCAGAGTAAACAAGTAGAATCTGCAAGGACCAGCCAGCTTTAGGCCTCTTTGGTCAACAGAGAGGACAGTGTGTATATGTGTGTGTATAATTACACATGTAGCACCATGTGTCTATACAGTTTGGTGTAGCGGACTCGTGAATACAATAAAGGCTGCCTGTGGAGTTCCCTTAAGAGTTCGGGGTAAAGTCTTTCCCAGAGCAATAAAGTACTAAAGCATGATCCTAATGACTTGTTACATAAAATAAAAACACACGCTCACAAAACGTCTGGAATCTTCCCATCATGCATTTCCTCTATTTGTTAGATTACTGTTAATCTCTCTCTCTCTCTCTCTCTCTCTCTCTCTCTCTCTAGCTGCTTTAAATCTACTTCCACTCACTCAGAGGTAACACTGATAAAACCTAACAATTTTTTAAACAAAGATATTGAAGATAAATTCTAAAAACAATTTATTTCAAAGACTAAATCTACAAAATATAGTTTCTCATATTTTTTAAATCAAATTATAGGATCCTTTTTATTTCTGAGGATGGTTATAAACTGCACAAAACAATGCCTATTTCCTTTTCTTTTAACAATGGAGTCTTTGTGCTTTGATACCACAATTAATTTTATATCTCACAAATTTGAATCTTCACATATTTGTATCACGATTTAAACTGTCTCACGATATATCTTTACATTCCTAGTCTATTGATTTTACTGTCATAAGACAAAGAGAAGCTGCCAATTCTCACACTGCAGAAGTCATATAAATAACTGCTCGGCTGTTATGATGTAGCATCTATAGTTTCTGTGTGCTGGCTCAGGATTGGTGGTTTGTCCCCAGAGCAAGCGATGCCATCCATCACCGGACCCCCCCCCCCCTCCAGTTGTCCAATCAACCCATCCTAATCTGTTACAACAGGGGCCCATCTGGACCGTATTACAGTAATCCTTGTGATGTAATCCCAAAACACGGCTTCCTCTTCAGTGAGAGAAGTACAATCCTACCTGACCACAGACGGAGGGATTTCCTCACTCTTCCTCCTACACCTCCCTCTTGAGTGTCACATCAGCACAAAGAATGAAACCACACAGTGATTTTGCTGTTGGATCACTTCATCAACAACAACCCAGTGGTCAATCATGCAGCTCATAACAGAACCAAACAATGCACACTGTGTTTGTTGGGGTGTGAGAAAGGATCTGAGTATAACTGTATGTGCTTATGACAAAATGAACTTTTTAAGTCACAGGAAGTGTGGGGTTACGCGGAGTCTCAATACACAGCAAGAGGTGATGTGTCATGTCTCTGTGTGTGGGTTGCCCCAAACTGAGTAAGCTGCTTAATCACACATTTAAGGGGTCTTGCATGCTCGGTTTGTCTGTGTAGTTACTGGTATATTCTTGTAAAGCCCCAGAGATTCTGCAATCAAACCAACCAATAAACACTGTCACTGTGTGTGTTCTTCAATCACAAGATCTTTCCTGGCATGATCACCCAGCAGGTACTGTGCAACATGTGGTTTGCTGGCAAGATGTCAACATCAACCACACATCAAAAGTACAACATGATTTAAAAAGAATGCTATAGAATAGAATATGTCCTTTATTTTTGTTAAATGCTGCAGATTGTTTTTTACATTATATATTATCATATTTTTCAGGTAAAAAAATATACTTAATTTTACAGTGTGTGTGTTAATACACAGCAAAGACCAGGTCCCTTTAACCCATCTATAATAGCTTCTGATGGGATTGTAGGATGGGCCGTATTTTACAGTAATCCCTGGACATTGAAAACATCTATCTTCACCTGCATGTGAAAATGTAGATATTGAAAGAATGGAGATTATTCAAGGCTCAAAAAAACAATGATGAAACTGAAACTGGAAACAAAATCACCAGGATGATGAATTATTACAAAAATATTTCCCCAAACACATTTTTGTTAGGTTAATTCTCTAAGTTTGAGAATTTTAAACTTACTTAAAGTAAATAGATAGAACTGTGGGGGAGAAGTTGAATGTCATTATCTTGTTCACTTTCACTATGAAACTGGACAGTGACTTGTACAGACTTAGGTCAATGGTACATCCTCAAATCCCATTAGTAGCCATTAAGGTGGATTGAAGAGACCAAGTCTTCGCTTTGGTGTAGAGAGATAATCTCACAGTGTCAGATATTGTTTAAGATTATGCTCAAGTACAATCCAAACATCAAGTCATAACTTGTGCTAAATAATAAGATTCTGACTGTTTAAGTTATATAAAGCACATGCTGAGATGTACAGTATTTTACATTACTTAATTACTAATAGTAATTACAGAATGGGTTTTTCCATGTTCATTATATAATGCAGATTAATAATTCCATTATTCCATGCACATTACAGTCTAATATACATGGATATCTTAGCCAGAAACATCTTTTAGATGGAATTTTATCAATTAATGAAATAGAAAAATACATTGCTTTAGGTGGGAGAAAAGTGTAATTATTTAGAAAAGATGATGGTGACTAAGGACATTTTGGCTATTGTTTACAGCAGGATGATCAGCGTTATAGTATAGGACTGTGTCTGCAGACATTATTGGCCTTGTGAGCACAGGCATCAGCCGATGCCGATTGTCTCAAAATTCAAGCTAATAAAAGAAAATCTATAATTAAAATATTCTTGATTATGTTGAAAAGAAAATGAAAGAAGCATCAAACACTGATGCCATTTTTTGACCCCCCTTAATTACCACTGGAACCTAAACCTAGAAAATAACATGATGCAAGTCAATGTCAGAAATCTGTTAAAGTTCAGAAAACCTCACTGAGCTCACTTTATCTGTTACCTCAAGATAAAGCAGCGTGATTTCTCCTCTCACCTCACGCTGTCTTTCATGTGTCCCTACGAGCCAGCTGGATTTAAGCTTTCACTCTTGATCTGGTTCTGCATTCGTGTGCACGTCTGTCTTTCCATATGCTCTGCTGAGTAAAACTCTGGCGTGGTCGTGTGGTGCAAGCCAAGACAACTTCAGCTTTACAGTGGTTTGCTTTTGTTCTCAAACATTTAAACTTTATGAATTTGAGATAATAACACTGCGCTGTATTTCACACGCCCTGGATTTAAACAAATGCTTGTGGTAAAATGAAATCCCTCAACAACAACAACAAAAAAATAATAATCACAGCGAGAAGTCTTTCCATAATATGTTGACATTATGTAACCACCAGAGGAATGTCAGAATCTGCCTGCCCCTTACTGACTCTGTGTGATTGTGTGCGTAAGGGAGAGAAAGTAAGCAAGGGGGTTGAGTGAGCGGAGGTGGTGGCCACTGTGAAACCTTTGTAAAACAGTTGTCATGTTCAGTAGTACGCTATGTGGAGTCAATGTGTGCATATGTGTGCGTGTGTCCTGCTAAGATTATGTGGGCTGCTGCGACTTCTGCATGTTCATGACACACTACCAGAATACGCCCACGCTGTAAGCTGTAATGCCATTCCTCACAGAAATAAAAGGTCAAATGCTTATATTCCTTTGCCTTTCGGTGAATTAATGAAAACATACCTCAATGGACAAAGTGGAGGCTGAACAGTTAAGCCAGGTTAGAATAAATGTGTTATGATTCATAACAGTAACATATTCAAACGTCAAAGCTTGTTAATAGTTGCCAGTGACTCACATGCTCTCCTCCATTGAAAAAGCACAAAGGGCTATGCAAGGACACTGAAAAGTCTGGGAATAGAGAGAAACAAAACCCACCTCTGCAGAGATGCGTCTGTTCCCTCTGTTCCTCAGACAAACACCCGTGGGCGACTGCACCTCATCAGACGAAGTCCCCGACGCCTGGTCACTCTCCCCATCAGACCCCATCTTCAGGTTCTCATGGACGATATCTGGGGTAGAGAAAGAAAACAAAAATAGGCAGAGAAAAGGAGGAAGAGAGGTTGAGTTTGACAGATGGAGCAGGTCTGTGGAAAACAGGGCAGGGCTCAACAGCAGCTGATGACTTCAACAGGAAAGAAAACACTGTGTTGGACACTTTTACGAGCCCCTCTGTTCTTATCAAGCTCCCGGCTGTGTCGGGCAGAGGATATACACAACAAGTACATTAGGTTTAATAAGTTTGACTGATAGATTTAATTTGTTTCATTGCCACAGGGCCTTACAAGACAAATCCATGCATTACACTGTAATTTTCCCATGCCTAAACGAACTCAGGTTTAATACATACAAAGCACATTGCCATTTCCTCCAGGCTTTATGTTTATATAAGGGAATGTTGTGAATTTAAATATTGTATCTGGGTTGGGAATCTAAGCTGCTGTTTTGCTGGAAGTGTCCAAAGTAATTATCTTTAGTCTCATTTATTAACAAATGGCTTATTGTGTCTCTGAATGTAACACTGGAATGATTGTACTGCTATGTGTGTGCCTGCACTAACATATGCCTCTAGCACTGGGGTTTTTTTGAGCACATGTTTTCATACATAATATGTTACTGTGTGTGTAGGCTCAGTTGACTCAGTAGAACTGTGTAACACAAGGATTTTACATGTAGTTTTGAGGATATTTGAGCTATTAAAACAGCCAAATCTAGCAGCTTCTCATCGGATTGTAATAAAAATCGAGAGTAAAATCAAGCCACTGTAGTGACATCTATAAAGATTCTCAATAGACACAAAAGAAACCTCCTGATAAAAACCTCAATGAAAAGATAAATATAAAATGTGATCATGGCCTTGTGTGTTTGTGTGTGTGTGTGTGTGTGTGTGTGTGTGTGTGCGTGTGTGCGTGTGTGTATGTGTGCGTCTCACCGAGGCGACTGCTGTTGCGAGGCATGACCATGAGAGAGCCCAGGCCTCCTCCGATGACGCTCTGAGGCCGTCGCGGCGGCTTTTTAAAGGAGCCTGTGTACTGGTGGAGGAAGGAGTGGACACTGTGGGCTGACGGAGGACGGCCATTCCTCACTATGGGCTCTGCAGAAGAAGACAAACAATTTTGAATTAATGAACAAAAAATAAATTTGTGTGTGTGGCTGCACAGCGCTCTGTGGTCGACTAGTGATTAAGCATCCAAGCCTGCCTGCTACTGAATGAATTTTATAATGATCAGTATAATTCCCACCCACTTCACGCCCTTATTAACCAAACAACTATAAACACTTTTGCCCTCTGGGAGAACACATCACACAAACTAGTTCTTTTCAAGCATGACCTCATGCTAAATCATCAAGCAAACCAAAGACAATGAATTTCACACCCTCACTTGGTGGTGAAGGAAATCTATTCTAAAAGTACATATTTTCTGAGTTTATGGAGTATATTGTTTGTAAGAAACAGGGTTAACACGGGAAAATTAAACTTGACAGATTATTCTTCTAGTTGCAAGTTGTATAATTTTACATATTCTCCATTTCAAAAATATGACGTATTTTTTCTTCAGTATGTGCTTTATTCATTTAAAAAAACATCTATAATTTTGTCCCAGTATTATACCGTTCCATTTTCCAACCATTCACAGGCGTCCAATCTCAGTAAGCATCCTGCTTGCTAACCGAGTAAAGGCTTTCTGATGCACTAACTACACATTACTGGTTACATAGAGCAATAACACCAGACTGCATAAAATAATCACATAAGAGGTTTTAACTTGTAATCTACTGATGTATAGATTTGCATGTAATATGTAACTGCTGTAGTCAATTGCACACAAACTATTCCACAGAAAACGTGTTTCCATAAACAGACTAAAAATAGATGAACAAGAACACAACATTTTCTTTATCATGGAAAAATGTCAAACAGTAAGACCAAAAACAGAATAAAGAACTGTGGCAAAATCCATGAAAAAAGACAAAACAGGAAAATGGAGGTTGATTAGTAGAGTAAAGGACTAATTAAGAGATTAGGATACTGAATGTGTTAAATCTAAATTAAAATAATATAAGAATTTGTCATATTGTCATATGGTTTAACACACCTGAAATCACCATAAAACAAAGCGCAATGTGGCTTCAAAGGAACACAACATATCCTGTACAAACTAAACAAACGTAGCAGTCTAATCTTAAGGTCTGATTTTTCCACAATATCACATTCCTTCAGCCTCCCACTGATACGAGGGTTACCTAATTGTAAATTGAGCTGGGCCGTTACAATGTGGTCTGTTCTCTCATCCAGTGTAACCCTTATACTGCAAATACAAAAGTAGAGAAGTGAGAGAGTCTAGTATCTAAACATAACATCTTGTAGTCTCAGCAGTGTGTTTTGGCTTGAGAAAAGGTTCTACAACTGCCTGACAGAGGAGCATTTGTCCAAAAGAAAGAATGGAGCTGACAGAAGTGAAAGATTTATTATGTATAGAGTAGCACCAACTAAAACACCAACTGTGACAGTGGGGAGAAAATGGATTCCCAGAGAGGCTGTTTAGCAGGCATTCGAAGCTCAGAGAGGACAGAGTGATACGGTAGGACATGTGTATCAGAGGCAGTGAAGATGACGACGGGACATTTATAGATTCCATCACAGAAAAGAAAGATGATTATGTGCAAGCTCTCTGTTACAGCTGACCCTTACTCATTACTGCCTGGTTTAGGATAGCTCTTAATGTGATGAACCATCCACCCAAACAGCGGGGGAGTGGATGGGGTCAGTGACTAGAGACTGGAATGAGACTGGGTCTGTATCATATGTCTGAAGCTATCCCTTTAATATCTCTGGTTGTATTAGGTATTATTAGCAATGTTGTCAATCAATAAGAAGGACTGACTGGTGGCAATTTGGAGTTTTTAGATGCAGGTTTTTGGATCAATGTTATGTTATTTGCAAGATGAGCCAAAAACAACCATTCCTTTCTAGTTATTGTATCCATTAACAATTTCTCATTTGACTTTCCAAAACTACATATGTCAGGATATATATTGGTATTGTGACATAGAATTGCATATAATTGATATTATCCATACCTGCCAGAAAAGGAATCATATACAGACTACAGGCAGGTAAATGGGGTTAACGTGGGATTGCAAAACATCCAATAAAAACTGCAACCAAACATTACTAATATAAGAACTACAATGTGAAATGCAAAGAAATGTGATTTGCATCTGAAATCACAGATTTAATAAGACTGTACTGCCTCTTTTTTAGTTTGCATTTTATTGGTTTGTGTCTTCTTATTTTCCAAGTTTCTCTTCTCCGTTATTCTTTCACATTTGTATTGTGCACATTGCAGCTCCTGGTTATATTTTGGAATGATTATTTTATTATGATAATACTGGCTTGCAAAATTAATCCAATGTAGGAACCTTTAACGTATTGTGGGGTCTGAACATAAAACAATAATATACGATTTTTATGTGTTTCATTGAGAGTTAGCATTACAAATACTAACACTAATATTTTGTTTCAGTCAGTGTTGTCTTGCTAGACTCAATAGGTATTTAGTTTGGGTAGGGAAATATACCAGTATCGGGTCCGATACTGTTGCTCATGTAATCATAAAACTACTCTGCTACAGCACCCGATACCAGTCTAGAGCAGCGGGATGTTATGTAATCTCTTATTAGTAAATTAGCAGCATTTAATTCTGTCAGAACATCTGATGAAAATAAACCATTAAATACTCATATCAGTACTTGGTATCAGTACTTTGGTCTCTAAAAGACATGGTATCAGCGCATCACTAGTTTTGGGCCATTGAACATCTGACTGAATGTACTTTACTGAGATATAACAGCAACCCTTCACGTACATGGTTAGATAAATGCACAGTGCTGCCATCAACCACCGGCCCTGATTGTCAAGCTGGAAAAAAACGGAGCAACTGTTCTGTATCGTACACTTCAGTCAATCCGAGGAAGGAAATAAGACATGTAGTTGCAGTGTCATGCTTCATTTTATGATGCCTATAATAAATATTTTTGTAAGATGTGTGAGCTTTGGGAGGAAGCGAGTCACATCATCATCTAAACCACCCCCCACAGCTTTCTAATTTGTTTCCAGGGTCAACCAATTCTCAGTGCATTTTTCTGACTTAAATTTTATTGCAAAAATTAAACTCACAAGATTGAGGCAGCCTTTTTCGAGGCTTGATTTTGGCAGCACAGACGTCACAACTTTGGAACATTTGGTGTGTCCTATATTACAAACCACGTCATCAATTTACAGACATTTTCTTATACTCCAATGAGGCATTTCCTAGATTTCGTATAAAAACAGAAAAATAAACAGCCCCCATGTAATATCCAGGTCCTTATGCCACTTCTCCCTTATCTCTCTGCAGCTGCTGCTGCTGCTGGCCCGAGTTATAAATGTTACATAATCAGATCAGGACCAGAACGCTTTCCCCAATTGCAGAGTTCAGATCACATCTCATCTGGCTACTCCATTCTGTCTCCTCTCTACCCTACTTACTGTTACACAGGCTGCTAAAATCCCCTCACACAAACACACAAACACACACACACACACACACACACTCTCATGCTCTGTGTACCCACTCACCAAGCAGAGAACACTCTGGCCAAACCTGGTGTTAATCACTATACAAAAAGCTCTTTACAGAGCCCAGTTAGTTCTCAGAGGGCGGTGGGGAAGAGGGGGGTGAACTTGGACGATCTGATTGATTGAAGAAGGGGAAAAAACTTCTCATTTGGACAAAAGACAAGAGAGGAAAACTGAGGACAGGCCTGAAAGAAGCCGGGGGGGGGACTTGGGGTGGTCAAAAGAGAAGGAGAAGAGCTGAAAGATTTTCTTTTTTTTTTTTAAAGGGGGGAAATGCATCAAGTGCCTGGCTGGTTTCACCAAGTCATCCAAGTTGCCGTGGTAATGTCATGGAAACTCTAGAATCTTTCCAGATCCTGAGCACCATGGCAACAATGTGGTAGCACACCGAGGCATGCTCCCTCCTTCGCTCCCTGCAGAGTTTGAGAATATCAGCAGAGATAAGCCGCTGTGTCACTCCACTTTTATTTTGACGCCTTGGAGGCTGCAGCCTTCGGGAGGATCCAGATGAATGATGTAACCAAAGACAGAGTCTGCAAGGGTGGAACACAGTGTGTCTACCCTAACATAAATAAATAGACAGGCTGACCATGAATATAGATTTGTGAAGTTGAAGGAGTTGTTTATGCAAAAGTCACATTCGTTTCCTGAACAGTCGATGTAAAGCGACAGGCAGAGGGGTTTCTGAGGATTGGACGTGCGTTGAAGCTTCAGGACGAATATAAACCACGATTTCCAAGGTGCCAACAGCTAGCAGAAGCTAAAGATTACACTTTGTAGAAACCTGGTAATATACTCTAGAGTTTAACTCAGTCTTCAGATTGTGGGTCAATGTTAGGTCAAGTTTAGATTTGGCTTTGGCTAAAAGCGCTATCTAAACACAGGCCATTAAAATTCAGCAACTAAATCCCATTTCAGCCACAAGCTTCGTTACATAAATGTGCTGGAAATTTTACACGTCAGTCTGGTGTCTGTATAAACCCAAGTCATGTTGGCAATCTTGGTTGCTAACGGTAATGGTTGGACTACAGTTTCCCCTATTCACTGAGTGATGAAGATAAGTATGTAGCCTGTCAGAGCACTTTTCTTCTTTAATATAGTAATTTTCCAACTTACTCATGTATGTATCAGGAGCCAAACAACACGTGAGAATATCAGATTTTTAAAGAAATAATAGAACATTAACATAACAAAGACCGATGAATGTAGTAGTGGGTGGTACGTACGAATTCACTAAATATGTAATTTTATTACAACATTTCTAATATTATGTTTTACTTTCTGGAAAGAAATAACTGCTTATAGATATAAAATGAAAATCCAGCCAATTAAATACCTGACACAACAAGTTACCCCCATATAAAAATCCAATACCATAAAGCAGTCCTGCTCATTCATGTGCAACATTGCATTTTATGGTACACTCAGACATACTGAAGTCTAGCACCACCTGGACGAAGACATTTCTAGTTCAGAGTGGATGCTGCGACAACTACTGGATGTCTTGACATGTACATATCGCAATATTATTAAACTATACATTAAACCTATACGAAATCATTACTTCAACATATAGACAAAGCTTATAAAACGCACCGCTGTCCTTCAGGCCGTTCTCCTCGATGGTCATCTGCTCAGCCAGCTCAGATAGCGACTCGTCAATGGTGTGGCTGCCTCGTAGTGTCTGAGAGAGGCGCCGCTTGAAGCGCTTCATCTTCTCCATGGAGCTCTCGGGAAGGGGAGGCCTAAGGAAGACAAATAAAACAATATATATTTGTAACCCTGTGTAAAAATCAATATATATATATAACAATATATATTTGAAACCCCATGTAAGATAATGATGAGAGTAGATACAGCTTGTTTTAGTTACAGAAGAATGCTCCCACTATCTGTAAGCTGCAGTGTTGATGCGGGCCTTGACATTTCACTGATAAAATCTGTAACGTAAACTGCCTTTAATTCAAAAGAATACACCTCATCTGCCTGCAGCCATGTTTCACAATCTCACATCTAGAGTCAAACTGAAATCGAAGACGCTGTTTGATCACCAGGTATCTGACTCTGCGAACAATGACACAGACCGATCAGCACTCTGACGTTAATTATGACTCAGCTCATTCAGGCACATTACTTTACATTCCTCCCCCTGGGAAAACATGACAAGTCGGTGAAAGATTCTTACGGGTGAGTTTGGAGTACGGTCCCTGGCACACCGGACTGTAAAAGCAAATCCTAAACCAGGGGGATTTGCTGCTGAATAGAGCAGGACTAGCCTGAACCCACATCGAGTCCACATCATACATTCCAGCAGCATTTACTGTGTGCATGAGAGTAACATATTGTGAGAGCTAGAGACAGTGTGTGTGTGAGACAGAGAGAGAGTGAGAGAGAGAGAGATACAGAGAGAGAGAGAGAGAGAGATACAGAGAGAGAGAGAGAGAGAGAGAGAGAGAGAGAGAGAGAGAGAGAGAGAGAGAGAGAGAGAGAGGAAAAAGATTTCAAATCAAGACTGAAGATATTTGGGAAAGTTTGGCAGGAGCCTATTACAAGCAGCCTCTCCCCTGCGACCTAGATGTGAAGATCATGACTCCACTGCTGCAGATCTGGACAAGTGTCTGTCTGTCTGTCTGTCTGTCTGCGACAATGATGACTAAAGCCAGACATGAAAACACATGAGTAGTACATCTCCCCAGGGCTCGCTGCCTTCCCTAGTGACAGACTTTTGTCTTCCAAATATCACTCATAACCTGAATTCTGTCCAGAGATGCAACAACTTACTCACTCACCCAGAGCCATAGTGGAAAAGTATTAATTGCCTTTGGAGAAGACGTTAGCGGAGTAGGGTTGAAACTAAGGCTACTTTGGCATGCAGGCACAAGTGCCCCAAATCTGACTGTTTTGCTCATATGTGACTCCGATCTGTGTGTTTTTCATGACAGTGTGAACAGTCACTGATCTCAGTTGTGATATCCAATCACATACAGGTCTGACTTTTTTTTTGCACTTTTACAGCACTCTAGATCGACATTTGTCACATGGGTCACTTTAAGACTGTGACCTGTTTATACAAGAATCTGTAAAATAATGTGAGCAGCCAAAAAAAAAAAACTGATCCGAGTGCTAAGACCTACAATGTGAACGTAGCCTAAGGTTTGTCCTAAGTAAGTCATAGGTTCCAGCTATATCTCTATAGCCACAGTTATACATACACTGAAATGGTTTCTGATTGTTGTAATTTTTCTCCTGTCCGCACTGGCCGCCAAGAGATCGCTTCAGTACTCATTCTGTGTACAAATATTTTCAAAGCTCAGCAAGAGGAAATATGAGCTTTCAGTAGTGACAAATAAAGTACAGATTGATTTGTGTAACTCAGACTGTTAAAGCCTCATAACACCTTCAGCTAACTGAACTCAAACTGTTCCCATCACTTCCACTGGAATCGCAGTGGATAGGCACCCCTTCTTGGCCAGTATGGAAAGAAAAAAACCACATGAACCAATCCTTAAAGAAGCCTTGATTTTAACTTAATTTTGACAGTCAACTTTTTCCCTCCATTACTGACGGACTACAACTTTTTACAGACAGTCTTGTTTCAAAATAGGTCTGCAACTAACAACAACTTTGATTAGGAATTAATCTGTCAGTTGTTTCTACCATAAAAACTAAGTCTATCTCTTCCAAGTTCCAAGAACCCAAGGTCATGTCTCCAAATTATTTGTTTAGTCTAATCAGCAGTTTATGGCCCACACACATTCAATTTACAACAATATGGCACCAAAAAGCAGCAAATCCTCACATTTGAGACACTGGAAATAAAAAGTGTTTGGCATTTGTGCTTGACAATGATAGATCTTTTTTAACCTTTATTAATTCAGGGAAGGTTAACTGAGACTCTCTTTTGCAGGAATGCCCTGATCTCATTCGTACAGTTACACACATTCATACCAGTACAACCACAGTCTGATCTGCTGGCCAATGAGCAGCTCCACTGGATTGGTTGGGGTTAAGGGCCTTGCTCAAGGGCACCTCCATGGTGGTAACAAGGGAGGGGCAAGTGCTGCTTTTCCACTTTCCCCTCCCAGATTCATCCTGCCAGCCCGGGACAAAGTCCAAGACGTCCAAAAACATAATAGTACAATAACAGACAACAGCAGCAGTCAATCGCTGAACAAAACTATCGTTTAAACATAGAACGTGAACTTCACATGAACAGCCCATAAAAAGTACTCTGTCTGGGGTGAGAGATAGGCCATGAGGCTGCTGCATCATATGTATGTTTAGAGCTACAGAGGCTGGTTTAAAAAGGTTTGTACTCAGTTTTAGGAGGCAGTGAGCCTGCCCCCATTCCCTCAACACAACAGACAGCAGCAACCGTCTGTTTGAACTGGGCTTATGGCCAAAGCAAACTGGGACAGTGCAAAGACAAAATACTAAATGGTAGATCATGAGCACTGTAACTACACAAGGAAACTGTATATTTCAGCAACTTCAGAGAGCAGTGAGGCAGCTGGAAAGTCTGACTCTGAATACCCAAAAATCATGTAACATGACAATAAAATGTATCCAGGGCGTCCTCTCTCTCCCTATACTTCTTATCGCTCTGTATCAGAAAAAAATCATCCATCCACATCAGGCATCATCTAATTTAGGGCCAATATTCACTTTGTATATTTTAGCTCCGTTCTTGGTCTCCACCAACTCCTGAGGGAAATATGTGGCTCTTAAGCTGCTAAATGCTCCACTACTCACTGACTGTGTCTGTCTTGGTGCTGGGCAGGTAGCATACAGTCAGTATTTAGAGCCCTTTTGCTGGAGGCAGCTGTGTCTGCTGCAACACTTGGAGAGAGGACGGCTAAACAATGGGCTCTGTAGGTTCATCACTACAAGCCCCTTTTGATACAAAAAAATACTGATTATAGTCATACAAGGACATGAAAAAGACAACACTGTTGGACTCATTTTGGGGTCCAACTTTTCTTTTAGGATAGGATACATTTTGTAATTTGGTGTTTTATTCTGAATTGGAAAATACCTACAAGGGATAGAGCACTCTTTTCCATTACAGCCATGTTTTTCCAATTTAAACTGGTCAGAATATATATTATTACATAATAATAATCTTGCCTTGCTTTGTGCAGCTTCCATCCTACGTCTGTGCTCTCAGTCAAGCAACAACAAGGCAAAACGTCAACTCGACTGTCATAATAGCTTCACATCAGTCATGAAACATCAGCTCCAGCAAGGGCAAGCAGACTGTCATCTCCTGAACAGCTCGCTGTGTTACCCGCTCTCCTGTTGCAGCCTTATGCACAGCCTGCAACATGTGCTGGAAAAAGTACACTGATGCAAAAACTTTATTCACCACTCTTCAAGGGTGCCCTGAACAACTTACCCATCAAAACACTGGTGATTTAATAGTCTCTGCATCAGAGTTATGGGTTTGCAGTGTTTTTCCCCTCACAGCAAGCAACACACTGGTACACACAATCCCCAGCATGTTTGAGATTTGTGATTAGACCTGAAATTAGTCAACGAGTCAAAATGTATGTATTGTAACAATTTTGAAAATCCATTCATTAAATGTGAGGATTCACTGCTTTTCTATATAATTTATTCAATATAAATTGAATATGTTCAGGTTTTGGACTGCTGGAACTCTGGACCAAAACAAGACATCTGAAGACGTCACCTTAGGCTCCAGAAACTTGTAATGGCTATTTTTCACTACTTTAAACGATTAATCAAAAGAATAACAAGCAGATTAATCGATAATGAACACAAGTTGTAGCCCTAATTATTCTGTACAAACAAAATCACTTTAATGTGTTTACAAACTTTGGGGATAAACTCAAATCAGGATTATCTGGCACCAAATTAGGGAATAAACAGACAGGTCATTCACTGTTGGTTTTTGCAGTCAATCTCTGTTCAGTTTCCACGGTAATATCCAGAATCCCCTCTTAATTTATGAATGTATATGATGGGGCACATTAACATCTCATAAATAACCGGGATATGACCTAGTATCCAGCAGACTCTGTGGATATAAATCACTTCCTGAATGTTCCATGGAAAGTTAATGGCAGCAGTAGAGAGGAGAACGGAGGGGGGGGGGGGGGGGGGGGCTGTCTACTGTGCACCCGTATCCGCTGGCCCACGTTCCTGCTCTGGGATCGAGTGTGTGGAGCTTTGGACATGATCTGCGTTCCGAGCCTTATCCCAGCTCCCCTAAGTAGGCCGGTCTGAAGTCTGAGCTCCAGATCCGCTGGTAGGTGGCCAGGGAGGTGGAGGCGAGGGGGAGTGGAAGGGTCCGAACGCTGCGCTGATTTGAGATTTGTTGCCACGGCAACCCCGCTGCTTTTTCCATTCTAAAAATGCAGAGCACGGCAGGAGACTGCACGCATGCTGATTTTCCGTCTCGCACCCTATAGCAACCCCCAACCCCCCTCTCCAATCCCGCAGCCCAAACGGCTACGTCTGCATTTTCATCCCCTACATTAGCAATCAATAGCCACCAGGACAGGACTCTCACCTCACAGACAAACTCTTGACGTTTCTAGCTGTATGCTAAATTGCATTTTCCACCTCTGTTTTCCCAGCAGTACATTCTGCAGGAGGTAGTGGGGTCGATGCAGGGGAAACAGGAGAGGGGGGGGTTGAGGCATTATGGATGCTGCAGTGGTGACAATAGCCATATGCCTCAGATGAATTCTGTCCCTTTTCTGCTGCAGCCGCGAGCGAA